CGATTCATCCTCCCCATCGGCTCTATTTATTTGATCTCAAAGGAGGATATCTTATGATCTTTTTCAACGCTCCTAAGCCAATGAAATACTACGTTAAAATGTAGTTAAGCAATAAGAGTGAGAGGGAAAAAATCCCATCTTCTGCGGTGGAGATGACAAAACAGTCGGAATTCATTAATAAATCACATTTTATGATTAGACGAGATGGGACAGAGATCAATGTCGGTGAATAAAATGATCTTGCCAATGTCAGATCGTCGTATCTAATATCCCGGATCGAAACGCGACCCGTTTAAGCACAGATCATCCAGTTAGATTCACAAATTAATCCCCAATGGTGGAATGTTCTTACTTCATCCATGCAAATGAATTGTTCTTAAATACTGTGTGTATGTGTACCTAAAAAGCCAACGGTGGAGTTGCGCTGAGAGGCTCGAAAAAATACCACCGCGTATTCATTTTTCACGTTAGAGATCAATGTTTATACATGGCGGTGCTCACGTTCTAACGGTCGCCCATTCTATCCCATTGAATTACAATCCGGAACACGACCCAGTCCTTTTGTTTTCAATCAAATGCAAACCAACTATATTAATCTAACTTTTTTCTGCTCTTTTCCAGCCTTTTTAATAATAACGTACCTCCAGTGAACCAGTGTTCAGTGGGGAACTGTGCACAAACTGTTTTAAGCATTATTATAATAATGCATTAAGAGTGAGTATGCTACATTGAAAATTATCTCGAATAGTACTAATTCCCATTGGAAACATGGTTAGTCACACAATGACCCAGGCAAAAGGGGCTGAAATACACACAATTACGCGCTGAATTGTGTATTATCATTTAGAATGCTGAGAATTTTGTAGTTTGCATCAGAAATTAAGGCGGATAAAAATGGTTTATCAGAAGAGCCTTATTAATGCTTGGAGCAGTCTTAGAGAGAGAGAAAAACAACTCAATTCCAGAGTGAATTAATAGCAATCAATAAATCACAATTATATTATGGGAACTCTTTTTCTCTGGCTATTGAATTTAAGTGGGATTTAAGCATGACAATTAAGTGATGAAACCATTATTTACAGTCTGATCTTTCAGCTGATAACGCATTTTTTCCTGGACGTTTCATTAACTTTGTCCCATCCAAATACTGATCTCAGTCGGTGATTATCTAAAATCAAAATTCTAATGACTCGTATTTGTGACTTTCTCATCAAAAACAATGACGAAGACAATACATTTCCCTGTACAATTCAATGGTCATTTTTTCCTCTGGCTTTTTTCACGCACTCTGATTTAATTATGCCTGGCAATTGAGCAAAAATAAGAGTTCAGTGGGAAATCTATAGAGCGCTTTTCGCCACCCAAGTTCCTGCCTAAGTGAGCCAAGAGTGCAATTTGTGTCAATTACGACAATTGTCAAGGAATGGAACTAACTGGATGGTGATTACAATTTCATGAAAAATTTCGTGTGTGTGTAATTTGATTTGGTGGACAAGTCTTTTTCAAAATAACTTGCACGTGAAACGCTTCATCGATTGCGACCCTCGCGACACAATAATTTTCTCTTTCGCTCTTCTGTGAGATTATGAGGAAAGGTTTTTTGCCCGGGCACATAAATATTGCAATTTAAATGGCAGGGTAGAGGTTCCTCCGGCGGAGAGAGATCAACTCCGGGGTCTTCTCATGACTGCCTTCCACATTTTCGCGTCCACTAATTATAATCTCTTTGGAGAATGACAAATCATCTTTCTGGGCATGATAAATTTGAGTATGGACATAGCCTTCGTGGTATTTAAAATTGTGTTGAAAGAATTCATTATACGCGATGCGGTATTTTGAAGTGTTGGGCAATTTGAGGAAAAGAACACTTTCCCCTCTCTGTTCGGCCATCAGAGTGCAACTGAAATCGAAAATATGATTTGCAAAATTTGAAAATAATAGCACATTCTGGAGGTGAAGAAGGAACTTTAGAGATAACCTCGCGGAGAATTATTGTGTACAATTCAAAAGCAATTCTCATGATCATCATAAAGCAATTCTTTTCGCATTTCCTCTCTTCGTGTCTCTGCAGCATAATTGCCACTGGGGTGATGGCATGAGCTTGACTACCACTCTTCGCATGTGATAACATAAATTCTTACTCATTATACAACAATTTCTGCCTGGAACTTGCGGCAAATGTCTCTTCTGTTGTTGGCAAATTGTGTGCGCTGGTTGACACAAAAATGATAGGAATTGTTGAAACTCCTATCCCGTAATCCTACAGTTGGTGTGTGCCTCAATCGGACAAAACTGTGTCTTGCACACCGTTTCATCTTCTTATTTTCCAACTTTCTCACTCACGACACCCAGTGAGAATTCTTTTTCCTCCACATACTGGCTGATGCGCCCATAAGAATATCATGGGAGCCACGAGAGGAGTCTTCTGGGCGCGCAAGTCATGGCAGAAGCGACAGGTGAACGATGGCCAAGATATTGAGGTAAACCGCGTGAGGAGTTTCACGAACTTGCATTATTTCTTCTCTTTTCTATCTCATATTACTTTCCTCTTGTACACTCTATCTTATTTAAAGTGTTTCTCTCTCTAGCACAGAGAGCACAGATCACATTTGGTAAGAAGCTATTGAAGCATGGGCCATACCACACAATTCCCATTGAGATCTCTCTGTGTCTGTTGGCAGTGGCGTAGAGACGTTTGACTAAAGTCTCAGAATAGAGAAAGATAATTAGCGCACGAAGGCAAAGGATTGTGGCAATCAAAGATTATCTCCGTGTGTTTTCTGGGTAATGAATATGGAAAAACTTCAACATCGCCGCCACTGAGCGTTGGGCTTGTCGTGTGACTTCTTAATTTTTGGGTTGATTGCCTCACAGAGTGCAAATGTTCCCAAAAGAGACTTTGCTTTTAAATATTATTTATACCCACGATCACGATTTCGCTTGGATTTTTCGGGGTCTCCGGGGAAGAGGCCAAATACAGAGAGTGGGAAAGAGATTTTTATGATTTTGTAAATATAAAATTTTTGCAGCGAGAGGGAAGAGTGATACGTGAATTGAGGGAGAATTAAAAATCAGGTATATGGCTTTATGGGCCTCTTTTTTTCATCTTGCCAGAGAGACTTATAGCTCTCCAAGACTGGTAGTGCGGAGATGTGAAGGGGAAAAATGGCCTGCAGGGAATAAAAGAACAAATTAATGAGGTTTTTGCCATTTAACTTGAGAAGAAGTGAGTGTGTGGCATAAGAGTTGCAGGTGTGTGCTCGGCAGAGACAAGTGTCTCCTGCCATTTTAGCCTCCATGGGTGTCTCTCTCTCTCAAGAAGTGATCAACTTTTTCCACTGCCTCTCATACTGCCTTTTCGATCTGTCTTGCTTGTTATATATACGCCGAAATTCGGCTGGGATTTCGCAATGAAATCTCTTCTGTGAGGCCCGCACGCGAGAGATCCGCATTGGCAATTGTCTGAGAAAGCGATCCTCTCGCGAGGAGTTCTTAATGTGATTTGATCATCGACTTCCGCCACAAATTGTGGCCGCCTTGCACAGCGATGCTATCCTTTCCATCGCTATGCCACAGCCACATATATTAACAAATGGGAAATTCTTGACCCCGTACTTTTTCACCGAGTCTCTGGCTCTCGCTCTAATCCAACTTGTTCTCCACGCAAGTAAAATGGAGCACAGCAAGAGAATGGATTAATCCGGAGGTGGTCATCGCACAATACCACCAAGAAGTGCGCGATATATCCAGAGGAATTCAACTCAGAGTAGTGGCAATTAAATTATTTGTAAATCGCCTCTCCCACTGCAGACAATTTGATACGCGGTTTACAGATGAGATTAATTACAACTGAAAAATCTCTTACTTTTCGTGCACTGCGCACACAAAGCTGCTGCTTTTCGTATTCCTTTTCTGGACTCCCCCTTAAATATGGACACACACAGAGTCACTACGTCACCACCGAGTTCAGGAAAGCACTCCTGATGCACACCACAAAGACTCTTTTTGGGAGAAATGGAGGTTCGAGAGCGGAACGCGATCGTCGTGCTACGTTGGGAGTCAACTCGCAACTGCTCCAAGAGTGGCAAAGTGGGAAAGGTGAGACCCACAAAAGAGAATGCTGAGGTAAGCAATAAAACCTGTGTGCACAACACTCATGATCAAAACAACCCATACAAGTGAGAAGTCTCTGAGTCACAAAAGGCTAGGGCGAGCAATCAAGACTTGGCGGAGTGTCTGAAGTCGAGGCAGAAAGTCTTGAGATTGAGATTCTGAGTTAGTTGAAGTGTTAAAATTCGATCAATCAATAATGGTGGTCCGTTACCAATTGGATGTGATGCAAAAGGTCATGAAGAGGGGATTTAAGTGTATTGGCTTTGCATTATGTTGTTTGAAAATTTTATTTCTATCTATTTAAGGAGTTAAACCATGTTTTAATAATCAACACCTTCCATTATTACAGATATTCCTCGAGACAAAGAGTTTAACGCATTAAATATTGCTCTCTTTGAATTTAGTTTGTTCAACATTCGTTCTTAATTGCAGTAAATCGTAAGAAGAGTTCAAATACCACAATAAAATAAATTACTTCTCAAACTAGTGGTTTTGATCTTGAATTGTATGACGCCGAAAATTGATAGTTTCCAACTTTTCTGTTATATCACCCATGAATTTTGTATGATTAAGCATTTTTCCATGAGAATATGAATTTCCTTGATTCATTTCATTTCCTAAAAATACAATTTTTGAACATTCCATCAAATTTCATATAAATACAGCAAATACATATGAAATATTTGTATATCCAGTTTATTTCATGTTCTCCACTCAATTACATTAAAAACACACAACCAAATTGTTTTCTTTCTTACGAAAATAATATTCCGTACACAGAAAAATCTCAAATTTCGCGCGCTGACAATATTTTGGCGCGTGTTGGTGAATTCATGGGAAAGCTTTCCCGACACTTCCAATGAGGTGACGTCACCGCTTCCAAAGCTAAAGTGACAGCTGGAAGGAAAACATTGAAGACTCGAGCGTTTGTTGTTCTGTGTTTTCTCCGTGAAAATCGCCAAAAATCCATTATGAGAAACTGTTTTGTCCCCTTTTGTGATATTCAGTGTAAGATGATGGAGAAGAGGATGATGTTCCTGCCGCCGAAGGTGCCACAAGTGACCTGGAAACTCCATGAATCTGGCGTCCTAATGAGTTTGTTTTTCGCAGGACGAGGAGATCTTCGAGAAGTGGAAGGCCAATTTGCCCAAGAAGCGACCATTCAAGCGCAACGATAGAGTCTGCGAGAGACACTTCAACCCAGAGGATGTAATTAAGACGTGGGAGCACGTGATAAATGGGCAGGTGTTTCATTTAGAGCGGGGAAAGCCGCGGTTGCGGCCTTCGGCTGTGCCTTGCTTGAACTTCCCGAACGAGGATGAGATCCGGGAGAGGAAGACGCGCAAGAGAGCATCGAATGAGGGCTCATCGCCGTCCGGGAAGGACAGCAAGAAGCCGCGGCGAGATGTTGAGGAGCTCCATGAGGAGGAAGTGAGTCCGGTGTCCAGAACAGTGCACATGAAGCAGGATGACAACTCGGAGATCATCCTGGAGACGATCATTCACGACGATGAGCAGCGGAAGAGTGTATTCGCGGCGCTGTTCGAGGAGATTTACGAGATCATTCTGCCATCGCTTCTTTGGGGCATTCATCGGGATCCAAATCACGAGTTCTTCGCATTCACCTGCTTCGACGGGCAGCGAATGTGCGTCTCCAAGCTGGTCCACGTCGACAGCGACCTGAACATGTCGGTGCACGTGAAAGGAGCCATAGTGTCATCGGATCAGCTCGACTACTCAACCATCACTACAGACTACCTCTCGGCAATCCTGTCCGAGATCGACGACCAGGTGATTTGTCCGGGAGACGATGATAAGTGCAAAATCTACCCGGAGGAGAACGCAGAAATGTGCGATTACTGCTATGAGTCTATAAAGGATGTGGAAAACTAGCCGATAAACATATTTGATGAAATGAAGTACATTTGTGCGAATTGAGATTGCATTTTTCTTGGGTTATGCAATGGGCGGGAAATATTCTAGCACTTCCAAGAAGGCTGCACGAAATTGTTTTTTGACGTGTCAGCGAGAAAAACAAAGTGGCAGAAAAATTTTCACGTTCCATTTGAGGCCAAAAATTACTGTAAATACCAGAATTTCGCGGAGATTTTGAATGGCAGTGCTTGTGGGAGGAAGTGTGTGATGTTCTAGCTTTGGGGGATTCTGCAAATAGTGTGAATTTCGCAAGATGTTCCGCATCGAATCCTACATAACCCCCATCATCCTCAGTCACATCGAGAAGTACGTGAGGAATATCCGGCCACAGGATGCCCAGGTGAGAATTCGCAATTTTCAGCTTCCTGATTGCCTGCAACACATCTTGTCTCTCATCCTGACCAGCTCTCCCTGTGGAACGGCGAGTGGGCGTTCCAAAATCTCGACTTGCGCCTCGATGTGCTGGAAGAGGAGCTCAATTTGCCCTTCATCTTCCTCTCCGGGCACATTCATGAGCTCATCATCCGCGTGCCGTGGACTAAGATCGCCTCTGAACCAGTCACGATCACCATCAACACGATAGAGTTCGTGGTGAAGCTCAAGGATCCGGACGCGGGCAGTGCGACGCCGGCCAGGGAGAAGGTGAAGAAGAAACCGGTGAAGGATGAGGAAGTGCAGGCTCCGCCCGGATACGTGGCCAGTCTGGTGAATAAGATCGCCAACAACATCTCAGTGCAGTGCCACAATATCATCTTCAAGTACCTGGAGGAGGATATTGTGGTCTCCATGAACATCCAGCTGCTCTCCGTCGACTCCGCGGATTCGGAGTGGAATCCTACGTTCATTGACATCTCGCCGACAAAGGTGCTTCTGCGAAAGATTGTGAGGATTAGCGATCTGACAATTTGCCTGGACAAGAGGAACGAAACTGGCATAATTGATGTGTGCCAGGAGCCAATTCTGTACAAGTGCTCAATGGAGATGCGCTTCCTGCGACGTTACAACATCTCCACACTACATAAATCTTCGGTTGTGCGCGTAGATGTGCACACGGACTGCATAGACCTGAACATTTCCTCGCTGCAGTTCCCGATGGTGATGCGGCTCCTGAATTTGATGCTGGTGCTGAAGCAGGGGAAATTGAGAGCCAAATTAGGTGGCAGTGCGAGTGCAGAATCCAACCAGGATGCAGATCAATCGGATGAGAACGGAGAATCGATTTTCTCGTGGGCATGGAATCTGTTGCCGTCGATATTCCCAGACGAGGAACTCTCGGAAGGTGGTGAGGAGAATCATGGGCATGTTTTCCACTGTGGAACTTACGTGAACAAGCTGAAGGTAACTTTTAAGAATCAAGAGATCATCAATGACTCGATCGTTCACACCACGAAGAAGATCAAGTACAAGCCAATGCTCACCATTGAGCTGACTGGATGCTACAGCGATACGATTCTGGTGGGGAATCGATGGTTCTCGATGACGGGTGGTTGTTCGGCAATTGAAATCTTCCCCATTGGAGATTGCGTGTGCGGACAGCGTCAACTGCTGACGGGATTCATAGCGACAGAACAGGGAATGGGAACGAACTATCTCGAGGGATCTCTGAAGGATCCCACAGCTGATGAGAACCTTGACATTTACAAGACCTACAACATGCTGTGGGATTACTACTACCTCAAGCACACCGAGAAGAGTCTCTTGGCCAAGACACCCGGCCTGGCCTTCGATATGGTGCACACGGTGGAGATTCCGGATGACATTGCCAGGAGTTCTGACATTGGAAGTGATCTGGAGTTCAGTGATTTGTCGGAAAAGTGTCTCTACAGAGCTTTTGTGGGGCCCTTGACTGTTCGCTACGGCACTGGCTTCTCCCATTTGGTAGACACCTTCAAGAACTACGTGAATCTCTACAATTACACACCATACGTGGAGGAGAAACCACCATTGACTCTCGCTCAACTCTCTCCGGCATCCACAGATGACTATGATGCCCTCATGTCAGAGATTCCTTTTCGCGTGTTCGAGGTCACCGTGCAGAAGCCAATACTGGAATTTTACACGCGGGATCACGAGAAATTGCCTAAAATTGGGAAAAAGAAGTATTCCTTGCCTCAGAGACTGGATTCCTTGCCGCTTGGATTGGCAATTGAGCCCAATTTCACACTTCATGCGGAGCGAATTGAGGCCAAAACAGTGAGTCCAATGTATCCAAATCGTCTGGTTCACACGACATGCCAACTTCCTGATCCTCCAGCGAAACTCTTTACAGCATGCTATACAAAGATTGAAGCAGAGGCCAAGAGGATTGAGATTGTTTTGAGGAAGGGTGAAAGTAGAAAGAAGGTGATAGAAATACCAGAAGTTATTTGTGCATATTCAGATCTCTTGCTGCCCGAATTGTGGGAGAAAGATGATATATTTCACACCATAGCAGAGATGTCCATCAAGAAACTGAAGATGGAATTCAACAGACTGCAAGAGTTGTTCTTCCGAACATCTATTCGAGATTTGCTGATGACGGAGACTGGCCAAATGGATGCTTCTGAGGAATTGTTTGACAGCAATTTGCCTCAAATCTCCCTGGAATTGGATGGGATTACAGCTACGATTAACAAGACACGATGCACGAGTGTCTTCACAGGCAATCTGTCCTCTGTGACAGCAAGTATTTGCATTCCGGGAATCTCCCATGAAAGTCCTGTGATTGCACAGCATGAGAAGGAGCACTTCGCTTCGATGGTTTTGCAAATATCACACAATCCGTCACGAGTGGTTCATCAGCCAATTCTATCATTCCAAATATCCGGAGTCGTTGTGAATTTCGACCCTCTGCTGTTTGAGTTTTTCACCCACAAGTACAGCAACAAGCATCAGGATTTGTCCAGCTCAAGTAAATTCGATGCTCTTTTCCCACCAATTTCTGATACACCAAAAAAGACAATATCTGAGAAGATTCTCAAGCGACCACCGCCAAAAGTGTTGGAAACTGTGCATAGTAGTTCAGAGAAGAACACAACAATTGTGTTCACAAAGCGAAAGGACATTCCGAAGAAGCAAGTGAGTCTTGTTGAGATTTACTCACTGTGGAAGAATCTTGTAATAGCCGGCGAGGTGAAGTCATCCAAGATTGTCTTCCCGCGCGTAAGCTTGAAGAAGGAGAAGGATGAGGAGACAATAATGGATATTTTGCGGCGGAGAGATAACTTTGAAATTGTCATTTTACAATTTCCTCGACTTGCTGTGCAATCAACAGGGAATAAGATTCCCTTCCCGCTTCTTAGAGAAAACTTCCCCATTGCTTTGCAGTGGGACAGGGAAAAGGACACTTTTCCCTGGAGCTTGGTTCTGGCTGAGTTCTCGTGTAGTGTAATGGAAAATGGGGAAGAATATGTCTGCTTGGCTCCTGCCAGAACCAACATATCTCTGGCCATCACGTACAAGACTCCAGAGTTGGACAAAGTGGAGAGTCCATTTGCTGTTGTCTTTCACATAGATATCGCTCCGCTCATATTTAGAATATCAGAGAGTCAAGTGAAGCTTCTCGTGAGTACTCTGAGGAATTTCTTGTCGCTGCCCATGATTGCGAATTTAATGAAGATGGAGGAGAATCCGGGAAACAACTTGGAGATTGCCCAGAGACCCATAAGTCCGGAGACTGATGTGGATATCAAGGAATTCCTGGGCATGAAGACCACATCTACGCATGATATGTCCAGCGATACGACTGAAGTTCTGAGAGATGATCGCGCAATATCCAAGATCTCAGTGTGGCTGCAATGGACATTGACGAGGCTGACGCTGAAGTTCTACAACACTGCGCCGGATGGTGTGAAGCAGAAGTTTGAATTGGAACTGGAGGACATCATTTCCAGTGTGGATTTGCGTGATATCTACGTGAAGTTGAAGGCTAAAATCGGTTCCTTCGTGGGAAGTTCCTTTCTATTGGATGAGTCAAAGACTTGGCGGAAGAATCCTCTGATGGGAATCTGTGGTCGAGCAACTGAGAGTTCAGATCCGAACGACACATTTCTTGATTTGACTGTGACGAAGGCTGAGACTGGAAGTGTTCACACGAAATGGGGAACTTCCCGGAAGAATCGCAACCTCAATGAGAGTCTAACGGAAGTGATGTTGAATATGCAGCAAATCGACATGAAGGTTGATCTTGATTCACTTCACAGTCTTGTGGATGTTCTCAAGACGCTGCTGAGGAGTGAAAGTGGCACAAATGACGCTGGCGTTCGCAGTGTTGATAGCATGCCTCTGATCTACTTTCAGAGCAAGGGCTTTAGGATTTTCGTGCCAATTGAGAATGACACAGAGAACTGCAATGTGTACATCTTGAAGGTGGGACAAGTGAGTGTGGCTCCAGCTGTGGAAAATCCCCTGTCAAGGATGCCAGTTCGACCGGATATCTACACCAAGGCTGCCCAGCTGAGGATCCTCAATATTCCCGGGTCGAAAATTGAAGATCGTCAGTACGAACTCATGCTGAAGAGTATCACAATTGGCACGGGAAATTGGGGAGAAGTGATTGGATTGATGGAGGGCACGTCAAAAGGATCGATTGTGTACAACGAGAATCCCGCCTTTGTGTGGAATAATCAGGCTAACAAAGCCGCCGTGGACATAAGTGCAATATTCAAGGACTTCAATTGTTCCCTAGTCTTCGCGCCGTGCATCGTATTCAACAACATTCTCGTGTGCGGTCAAGGAGTGGAGTTCAACTCCCTCACAGATCTCATTCTTCATTTGAATACGAATCAAGTGAGAGTTGGTCTGATTCTGCTGCAGAAGCTGAAGACACTTGGAGAGGCTTTTGCTATGCCATCAAAGCGTGAGGAGTGTTTGAGGAAGAAGGCTGCTGTGAAGATATCTTTGAAATCATCAAAGCTGAAAAGAGTTCATGAAAAACCCGAGTCAGACATCAAAGATTCTGGCTTTGAGTCCATCGAGGTGGACAAAAAGTCCACAACAGAGACGATAAAGGAGAAGGCAATCAGCAAAGCTGTTATTCCCTACGATTTGTCCTTCGTCGGTGGAGTTTTCACCATCAATCTGTACCACCAGCAATCTCCTCTGACCACAGTGTCTGTGTTCCAGCCCAATCTCTTCATTACCCAGGGAGTTTACGAGAAGACCATCCAAATGAGTGTATTTGATATGAAATTGGCACTGTTTAGAGAGCAGGAGAAAGATGAGTTCAGTGAAGTGATTTTCCACACAAGCAAAGGTGAATTGGACGCCATGGGAATTCCTCCGTCAATCTTCAAAGTCAGACTGCATCAGAACATTTCCAATGAGTGCAACCTCACCATTCAATTAGGACGTCACATGAAAGTTTCCGTGTCTGACAAATCCTTAAGGAAAATCCTGGAAGTGCGAACAGTAATGCAGGATATAATGGACTGTGATTTCTTTGCAAAATCAAATCCAGACCAAAGAATATCTACAATGCGAAAGCCAGCCAATGCTATAAAATTCATCAAATCTTCATTTTTGGGATGTGATAGTCTCTTGCTAACGCTTTCCCATCTGGAGTTATCGGCCAAAGCGGAGAGTGAAGAAATCAAGGCTGTCGCAAAGGATTTTTCAGTCAAAGTGAAGCTTTTCGAGAGACCATCACGAGTTCAACTGGATGTTGTATTGAAGGTCCTCACAATCATTACAGGAGAGCACACTTTTCTCCATCCAATGTCTTTCATCTTCAACACCAGTCTCATTCGTGAGGTGTGGCAGAAGACTCCAGTGTGCACTTGTCACTTCTCCACGAAGTATGTTCAGTTGGACGTGGGACCAGAGAATTTTCTCATCTTGCAGAAGATCAAGGAGTCTTTGTTGGAGTGTTCAAAGGGCTTTGGGATTGTGGATGGTGACAATGAAGCATCGTCGGAGATTTCTCAACCAACAGATGCAGATTTGGAGAATATTACGCCAATAAAACTGCCCAAATTCTCTGGCAAGGACGACGGCAGGGTCTCAGAGGAGCACTACAGAGACGATCTCAGAGCGGGCGCTTTTCAGTTCATTGAAGTTCACCAGAGTGACGACAATTTGCCGCTACCTTATCAGATTCAAATCATCAATCGTGACGTGGGGATTATTTGCTGGCGCTATCCTCAACCGAGGGCCCTCAAGAAAGTCGATGTTTTTCCAGTTCCATTTCCGGTGAGTCATATTTTCTGATTTACTATTCCCACGAATTATGATTGAAACACACTGTTGGAAAATTGATATTTTCCGCTATCACGCGGTTATATGTTCGAACGATTAGGCTATGGATTGTTTATCAATTATCAAAACACATATTATCTTTATTTCCCTACCTTTATTGAGAGGAGTTCAATAAGTCCATTATCTGTGAAATTGCTTCACATCATTGATATAATTTGTTCGCGATAAGAAGAAGTGGAAAGAGAAGAATTGCTGCCGATGGAAGGATTTTGGGACTGAAACTCACTTCGTCGGTATTGCAAGCGTCTCCCTGGCACAGGATGCAGGACTTATCTTCGTCGTCGTAGCATCGTGAATCCAATACCGTTTTGTAAATGCATCCTCGTTGAACATAAGATATGGTTTCGCCATCACTTGTCGCGTCTGGGGATTAATTTATGATTAGAATCTTATGGGAACGGAATGAGAGACCTTTAAACTTACTGAGGCGCCTGCTGTAGCATCCAGTATGTTCTATTGTGTAGAAATTATCGACAGTACAAGGAGTGGAGGTCAATTCCTCAGGATCATCTTCGCATTTCCTCTTGTCTTCTGCATCTCCTTGGAGTGAATTGCACTGATAGCAACTCATTGTGGCCTTGCTAGCACTGTTGCAGCTCACAGAATAGCAAGGAGGATCACACTCATTTGAGTCGCAATATGAATCTCCTAGACATCCACGACGTACAACGTCGTTTTGGACAATTGTGTAGCATCCTTGGACATCATTGCTGCACTCACTGCTCTTCTGACCTTCCTGATAGTAGGAGCATTCTGTGTTGATCTGACCTGAACATTGGTGGCACCTTGATCGCTGGACTGGAGGCGGAGTTGTTGGCGGTTCTGTGGTGGTTTGTGGTGGTTCAGTCGGGGGATTCACAACTTCGTAATTGCATCCCTGTGCAGAGCACTTAATGCACTCATCTCCAGCTGCTTCGCACGTTGACTTCTCTTGTGTCCTGTCTGACATGCAGCCACGGTAGACTGAGTTGCCCTCCTGGACAGTGTAGCATTGATCGTCGAAAGCGTAGAAGCGACAAGGTTGGGGCGGATTTCCAATGGAAGTCATATCCTTGGGGCAATCTTCAGCATCACTGCACTGGTGGCAAGTAATGCGGTCCTGCGGGAAGATATTGCTGTTGCAACGACTATCATAGCAGAGTTGGCAATTATTGCTGGGACAGAAGGTTGAGATGTCATCGTCGAGTTCTTGTGCGCATCCTCGAACTGTTTTCCCATTGGGAATGACTAGCTGAGCACACTGATCACCGTAGGCAAAGCAGGTGGTTGTGGGCGAACTTCCTGGATTGCTAAGGCAAACTGACTCTCCAGAAACGGCTTCAGCTTCAGAGTCACACACGTGACACTGCTGAAAGTCCACTTTCGTATTGCAAGTTTGTCCTCGACATATTTTACACTCTTCTCCGGTGCGACAGAGGCTGATGAAATCATTTGTGGCAGTCACCATGCATCCTCTCTCGAGTGTGCCGTCAAGCCTCTTGTGAAGATAACAACCTCCAGCCTCGTATTCATACGTGAAGGGACAGACATTCATGAAAGAGGATGGTGTGGAGGCACAGTTGGGATCTGTGGCTGAATCACAGATCGCACAGACTTCTCTCATCGTCTGATCAATATTGCATCGCTCGCCCTGGCAAAATTGACAATTTCCCGTTCCACTTTCACACACTTCCAACATGTGAGGATTCTCTGAGAGACATCCTCGCACGGTGACACCCATTTCGGTGAATTGCACAAAGCACCGATCCTCCACTCCTTCTGGAAGGCCTCCGGCACACTCCGAAGCGCGATTGGCGGATTGCATAAAGGAACATGTCTCATCGAAGGATGAGTCGCACTTCACGCAGGACAATGCAAAGCTTCCCTGAATCAGTTTCAGGAGAACGATCAAAAAGATAATATTTTTCATTTTTCTCCCTTGAACAGTTCAGCCAAATTTTGAACTTCTCCGTTCTCGTGATCTTGGTACACTGACGAAATTCCTGTCTCTGTGCCAGTTATTATTCTTATCTCGGCATGTCGATAAGTTATTGGTATCACTGGAACAACACTAAAAGTGTATCTATGATTCTTCAGCTGAAGAGACAGCAATAAAGGTAGTTTATCTCGCCGAATAGGTTTTTTGTTGTCCAATTCCGAAAATTCATTTTTCCTCATTGCGAAGTATCAAAGATAATATTTATTGAGTATTGAAGATAGAGCTAACATAAGCAGTGCTACTGTAGGATACACTTTAGCGCCTAAGCCCACATAGTGAGTGTTGCAACCGTCTTCCATGCAGATGACGCAAGAATGGTCGTTTTCATCAAAACATCGGTGTACGTCATTCACATAAGGCAAATAATGATTGCATCCACGAAAGACATATATGTCATTATAGCGTGTGTCGTCTGAAATACAAATTTCGTTGCAAATTATTAAATATTGTAAAGATGAATGGATTTGAGTACATGTGAACGATATCCTTACTTGTTAAGATACTAAAACATCCCATGTCTTCCTTACGGAATCCGTACGTAACACAAGATGTTGGTTCGATTTTTTTTGCATTGTCTTGGCAGTTTTCATCGTACCCACCATAACGAGGATGTGATACACAGCTAATGCAGGACATTATTGCCTTGCTTTCGCCGTTGCAGTAATGCAATCCGCATTCTTCACACTCATGTGTGTCACAATATCCATCTCCAAGACATCCTCGACGCACAATTCCGTCCTCAACACTTATGTAGCATCCTCTTCTTGTCCCTTCTTCGCACAAAGTATGATCTGAGTCCGAAATAATGGACTCATTGAGTGGTTGATAGAAGGAACAATGATCAATGTTCTGTCTTCCTTCGCACTTGTGGCAATGGTGAGGATATGGTGTTTGGGTGGTGGTCGATGTGTCTTGAGGCAAACTTGTGTGTAGAATTGTCAGTAGAACGATCACAAAAATTATTATTCTCATCTTTGTAGAATTTCTAGTGTATCACTTTAGTCACTTTTGCAGACTGACGAGTTTTCTTGCTTTTATACTTCAGACTTTTCCTTATCTTTCAGTTTTTTCGATATAATTTATTGATACGCTTACGCAGTTCGTCAGCGATTCATACGATAAGCAAATCCTGGTATTTCAACGTTATTTTCCACGAATTTTTACAGACACTGTCACCTGTGGAGATTCGTTGCACAATGGAGTATTATTCTGAAGCTCATGGACACTTTCTTCATCACTGTGAGTTCACTTTGTCAGAGAGTGAGATGAAGACACTGGAAATGCCTAGGGCGAGGATAACAGCGTCAATCTGGCGAGTGGTGATGTCCAGTCCAATGGTGTCTGTGGATGGAACGTTCTTCGAGGAGGAGAGCTCGTCGGCTGAGGAGGAGAGTCTCTTGACGAATCGCGAGCCCTTCATCTACAATATCAACGATATTCTGCAACGAGTGGAGACAGACAAGCCAGGAAATGCCTCTGTATTCAATCTCCATCCAAAGATTCTCGTTGCATGTCTGAGAATTGATTCTGTCTTCAATCCAGCCTTGATTGCCAATTTGAGGGGGTGCATTGACATTGCTCAAATTGAGATCAACCTGATGAATCACATCTCACGGCGACCTGTGAAAATACCATCTGTGATAAAGGGCTTCAATCCCACCGGAAGCATCACGCCCTGTCACTCCGTTGGCTTGCTCAGGATTCTCAATGCCAAAGCACATGTGAATATTTTCGACGAGTGGAATTTGTCCCTGGGAGTGGATCTGATGGCTGAGCTGTGCATTCTCGACTATAGTTATCTCATAAGTTATCCCGTGATTGAGAATGCTAGGATTTCTGCAGCTATTGAGAAAGACTGCGATGCAGTGGCAATTAATGTGCTGTCAGAGCCTATCAGGGTGAGATTTGGCCCTTCGGTGGGACATGCTTTGGCCACTACACACTCGCTCTGGACGCTGTCGCTTCAGAACAGCCAAGAGCCAATGGAGATGATTCTCGTGACAAGATTCTTGATATGCAACGCCACAAACATTCCTCTGATATTTGGACAAACAGAAACTGACGAGAGAATCTCGCTGCCAGCGAAAGTGTGTCACTTTTATGTGTTTCGCAGCGAGAAGAAGGAGCAAATGATTACTTTCACAGTGGATTGTTGGATTGATCCACCACTCCAGTCAGAAGCCTGTGAAATCTCGCGAGAAGGCACGAAGTCTGTAAAGCTTTCCAACGGTGGCGTTCTAATTGTGGTGATCGAGAAGATATCCGCAACACAGCGCAAGATCACACTTAAGGGACAAATGGAGGTGTTCAACATGAGCACAGAAGCTGTTGTTGTGCAGTTCAGGAGTCCTGAAAACTTGACTGACATCCTTTTGCCGGGGAGAAAATCTTCTAGTGCACTGAATATTTTTCCACACGGAGAATTGCCACATTCTTTGCGAATGCGATTGAATCAGGAAGGCTGGTCGGGTGAAATTCCCCTGAAGGAGACAGGAAAGAATCTGCCGTGGCTGGTGAAAGTGCCCTACAAGTCCTCTTTTGTGAGTTTCTGGCTGAGGATCATTCGCGAAGAGCAGCATCCACGTATCATAATAGTGGTGTGGCCACTATTTGTGCTGAAGTCTAATCTGGGCATTAGCAGTACGATTTACGAAGCAAAATGTGATAAGAGCTTTTCCATTCCTGGCAGAGGAGCTGTGTCAGAGCTCAGCTTCCCAGGAACACATGAGGATGAGCACAATTTGCAGTTCAACGCGAAATTTGTCTCAGCTCATGGAGAGGATAGAAGAGACGTGATGTTGTCTTATCGCGCCATTGAGAAGAATATGATCTTTCAGGGTGTGAATCAGGGGGATTTCGACAAGATGATTGAGAGCTTGGAGAATTGCCTGGTGGAGCCAAAGTCATCTTGGCCGTGCGCGCGCGAAGAGGAGCTTCTGTGGGAGAGAAAGGTGAAGAATCAAGGTGCCACGATTCCTATCTATAAGTTCTCCGCGAGTCATCCGAATTCCAACTGTCTGATGCTGGAAGTTTCCTCCTGGTGTCTTTTTATCAATTCGACGGAATTCGAGACAAAGCTGACCAGCTGGGATGACAAGCAATCCACAACGGCTCGCAGCAATGATGTGACAATGCTTTTTGGCTCAAGTGAGCCAATCAAGATGAATCTCTCGATGGAATCGTGCTCTATCTCGCTGCCGCCAGTGTCCTTCAGTGCATCTGATAAGAAAGTGACTCAGAGTATAATTCTACCCGATGCTGGATCTCTGCCGATGGAAGTGGGATTCGAGTGTGGAATATGCAAAGTGCAATTGACATCCGTGCAGGATAATTCATCACGTGTTGTGATCCTCTCGAGTCACTTCATCGTGTCCAATTTCACAGGATATGATCTCAGGATATGGGCATTTGCAATACAGAATCAGGACAGAAAGACTCTAATCAAGCCAAATGACGCTGTCAACGTGGGAAATTACACGATCCCTCCGCAATCTGGGCAGCATTCGAAAGGAGTGGCGCTCACAGCATTCTATGATCTGTCGCCAAAGAGGAAGAAACCGGCCAAGAGTTACAACTACTTCTTGGCCATCAGGTGCTCAGAAGATGGAGAATTCTCCTGTCCCGTCCATCTGAACGAAGCAATAAACTGCAAATCCGTCAGTCTTCCAAAGGATAACAATTACATTCCGTTGAGGATTTCTCTGATTAAGCGACAAGATCAGAGCTTCATTACCATCCATGAGGATCCGTATCCCAGAATGTGGATTGAAAATTTCACAGAATACAGTGTTTATGTGGCCCAGGCGGATTCGGTGACGGTTGGCAAGACACCTGTTGCCGTCCGAGAGTGCTTCGATCAGCACTTTTCCTGGTATCAGATTGTCCCTTTCAACACGAAGATTCCCTACACTCCACCACTCGTCGATCGCGCCTTTCCCGACGATTCCCCATCGGATTTCGGTCTCATCTTTGCCTTAGTCACTGCAGGTGAGGATCTTAATGGAGGAAGAAATACTCTTAGATTGCTTACTTTTCTCTTCTTTTTCAGGTACAACAATTCGATGGTCAGTTCCCATGTTGGTGAATGAGAGGAAGCATGTCTTCCTCACAATTCCGCTGTGTGGAGATCTCAAGGTCTCAGTGGACACTCGGTGGAAGTCTACGAGGATCTTCATTGACTACATAAGTGCTAATCTTGAATTTTCGGCTCGGGATATTCGCTCGAGGCTCCTGAATCCCACCAGAGCACCCGAAGTGCCTGACGTCATGTCTCAAGACAAGGTGATCTCCACGAGGAAGAGTCTCCAAGAGGAAGTGGCTGTGACGTCTCTATCATGCAATGTCCTCGTGAAGGAGATCAATCTGGTGCTTTACTACGATCAAGAGGAGGGGAATGCCCTCAAGAATGAACTTATCTCAATCAGTGTGGATAATCTGGTGGTGAGATTTGAGAACAAGACACCGAGGATGAAAATAGGGATTGGCAATATACAAGTGGACAATCAGCTACATTTTGCAGGAAAGTTTGACTTTCCGGTGGTTTTGTGTGCGGAAAAGCCTCAGAATTCACTGAAAAATGTCTCTTCACCGCTCACACTGCAAAGTAATCTCGCTTCTGGTCAGAATGAGTTTCTCTGCGAAGTGTCAGTGGATTTCTACGAAAGGGAGTTTGTCATGAGAGCCATCCATTGTCACATGAATCCTATTAAGGCGTACATTGAGGACACTTATATGAATGCCCTGTTGGACTTCCTGGTGGAGTGTCTGCCCACGAATATCGTGTATAAGACTCCAACGGAGATTGTGAGAGAAACGTGTCCGAGAGGAATTGTAATTCTTCCCAACGAGGTAAGACTGATCTTCTCTTAAAATAAAGATTCAATATATTGAAGAGTTTTCTTTTCCAGATCGTCAATCATGCTGTGCGTCTAGCCAAGCCTCTTCAGCTGGAATCCCTGCGAATCGACATTGTCCACGTGCTCCTTTCCGTGCACACTTGCGTTCGATTCTACATTGCCTTGGATCACAGTCCGCTGGTGTTTTCGGCGTTTGAGCGCAAGAACATCAACACACAAATGATGCGACTGGGCTACTCACTGGGCATGCACTATCTCTCGGGAGCGATCTTCGGAGCTGGCTGGGTTGTGGGAAGCCTAGAGATTCTCGGCAGTCCCAGTGGCTTGGCTCGATCTGTGTCCACGGGACTGCGAGACTTTGTGTCACTTCCCGTTGAGGGACTCTTCCGTGGCCCATGGGATTTCCTCGTGGGCGTCACACTCGGATCGGCGTCCCTCGTGAAGAACATCACGGCCGGCACGTTGAACTCTGTAACAAAACTCGCGACATCCGTGGCGCGAAATCTCGATCGATTGACACTGGATGAGGAGCATCTTCAGCGAACTGACGCTCTTCGACGGTATCGACCGCAGGGTTTGACGCAGGGATTTGCGCAGGGTCTCACGGACTTTGGGATATCACTGCTGGGCGCGATTGGTGGCATTGCAAGGCACACGCTCGAGGCGAAGTCCGCCACTGAGGTGTTCACGGGTGTGGGAAAGGGGCTGATGGGGGTGATCTTGAAGCCGATCAGCGGAGCAGCTGAGCTCGTGGCGCTCACGGGTCAAGGAGTGCTTCACAGTGTTGGCTACAACGCCTTACCCAACTGTCGATCGCCAGGATGTCTCATCAACATGTCAGGCACGCCGACGAGCACGAAGATCGCATGGAAAGTGCTGCCGCCGACATTCGCGAATGACGCCACACTTTTCTCCGTCCACATCACACTGATCACGAGCGATCACGGATTGAGAGCCACTCTGCTCACGGTGAGCACGAAAATTGTGACGCTACTGGACGTGGCGCAGGATGAATTGATCCAAATCATCCCCATGGAGAAGATTCAGATGGAGATTGACGAGAATGACGCCACAATTGTGATATTAAAGATAGTGGCGAAGGCTAGCAAGAAGGCGGATGATGATGCATCGGTGAGTAAATTTGTTTTGTTCCACAATGCATAAAGGACATGCAGTGACATCAAAGGGAATTTGTCTTTGCAGATGAATCAATATCCTGTTCATAGTCGCGTTCGTGAGTACATTCAGCGATCTCGCGAGCAACTGCCCGTGTATTCAGACCAGGCGTCTATTCACAGCGTGGAAGAGACTGACGAGGATCGCGAGGCTAATGCAGAAAGCCTCTCCTTCTACATTCACTCGCACTTGGGACAGCACTTGGTCAGCTATGTGAACTTCTTGCGGACCATTCAATCATGAGCGCCAATTGAGAAATGAACTACGCTCAATATTTCCTCGCATTGGAAATAAAAAGATAATACAGAATTATGAGAAAAAATGTCTTTATTGTGGATTGTATTTTCCAATTCGAAAAAATTAATAATAAAAATGTCAAGGATAACTATTCCTCGCATTCTGTGATTTCAATTCGCGCTCTACACAAAAAACACTAATCGCGAGTAAATGGTCTATAAAAACTAAACAATTTCTCTGCAAATAAACACCTAGTCGATATTGTAATGCGTTTGTGGCGCTTTCAAGTATAAACGATACAATTGAATGGGTCCATAGTTATAAAAATTACGATAATATGTAGAAAATACACGGAGGTTGTTGATCGGTGGGAACTTACATGACGACACAGGCGCGACGTCCCTGGGCGGGTGTCTTCATCTCAATGTCCTCCACCTTCTCCTTGAGCAGCTCCAAGTCCTCACTCACGCCCTCAGGGCCGTCCTTGGGCTCCTCGCCGAGTTCCACGCTCTTCTCCTGCTCTTTGGAACAATTCAAGTCGACCTCCTTGTCGCCAGCATCCTTGCCCAGTTCCTCCACCACGAACGACTGATTGGGCGTGCTGCTCTGGATGTTTGCTCTCTGCAGAGAAACAATTTCACACACACATCAGAAATCCACACTTTCTCTCATGCAATTGGCATAAATTACCTGAAATTTATTGCGCAGCAGAGTAACTGGACTGGCCATGAATCCCAGAAAAGCACTCAAATCGAGCCTGGCTCGCTTTCCCGGCGTCTTGTCCACAATGCGAATATCATCGTCACTGTCGTGCGGTGTGAGTTCCCTCTTGCGTCCCTTCACAGACGCCACGATGGGAGTGCGGAAGCTGTCGCTGTGGATCTCCGAGCCAACGGTGGCGTTCACGCTGGAGATGGAGTCATCGTATGCCTCAGGTAGCTTCCTGTACGACTCCCTGTGCGCATTCTGGAAGGTGAACTCGCGCAAGGGACGATTGGAAAAGCTTCGCCGGCCGCTGACGTGACGCAACGAGCCGAAAGACTGATCCACAGGCGGCGACGGAGCTACTTCATTGCTCTGTTCGCTCACTGTGCTTAGATTCACGGCAGTGCTCACGTTTTGGAGGCGCTCCGACTTCCGGAAGGGACTGATACGGGCGCGATTGGGCGTCGCGACACCCTTCAGTCCCTTGCCGGGTGTCTTGTTGGGACGCGGAGAGTCAAATAGCGCCCCGGAGACCTCATCTGGCTGCAGCACGATCGACGCCATCTCATCACCGTTGTCCTTGAAGCCCTTCAGCTCCTTCTCCTTGGCCAGCGACATCGTGGAAGCCGTTGACGCATTTAACTCAGACTTCGCCTCCGCTTCCTTCTTCTCCACTTCTGCCACTTCCTTCTTCTTCTCCGCCTCCTTGGCCGCCTTCTGACGAGGGCTCTCCCTCACTTTGCCCTCTCCATTGGTCACCTCCTCCGTCTTCTCACTGTTCACGCCATTTGTCGCCTTCTTCTCCGACGTAGATCCATTCTGGGCACCTTCAGTGGGCGCCTTCGCTTCCGGCACATTAACTACGACTTTCTCCGCAGGAGAATTAGCGGCTTTGCTCTCTTTCGCCTCCTTCTTCGGTGATGCCGCCACTGCCTTCGGTGTTTCTATTAACTTCTCAAGCGTAATCTTGTCCAAATTACTGACAGACACAACCATTGATCCCTCAGCGAGATCCTTGGGGATCTTCGGCTTTGTCTGCGGAGTCCTTCTCCCGGTTTGCTTAGTAGTGGGCTGACTCATCTCTGTCGCTCGCCTTTCCGGCTATTCCTCACCGTTTTTTTCAGCTCTGCAAGTAACAAGAGTAATTTGGTTTTTCATGCAAAGCAATTTAATGGAAATCTATGGCATCCGGGCAATCGAATCAATTGATTTCCCAAGTTCTTTGTTTGCACATTCAGCCACTCCTCTCGCTCTCTTGACACACCTCGTGGACAAAATCCCCGATGCAACACACACCGTTTATGCTCCCTGAGCCCGTTTTCTTAGGCCTGAGAGACTGTAAAAATAAACCCTCGGTGACGCTGTGGCTGCCCACTCAGGTAGACACTTTGCGAAAAACACGTTGAGCAGGAATGTAGGAAATGTTAATTGAATAGAGAGATAATTTTAGAGAGAGGCACCTAACATACTTCCTAGCCACAGTCACTCTAGTGGACATCAGCGTGTATTCAAATTGTATCTCTTCTCGGGCTTGATTAATATCTTCGGGAATGTTTCTCTCCGCTGTAACGGCTTTTCGTTGGCGAGTGAAAGAGAGGCTGAGCAATTGGCTTGCCCTTGGGCATGGTCAAAGATAGACACTTGCGAGGCACTCCAATGCTCTCTTTCGCACCGCTAGACTTACAAATCATTGATGAGGTTTATATGCCGCTCACACATCCGCCGTACACACACTCTGTGCGCTTTGTAGCGACGAGGCGAGTTACAATTTCAGTGATTTTCTACACAGCTCAAACATTTAATACTCCGAGGAAGTTCTTTACACAGGAAACCGGAACAAATCGCTCCTGCGATGGTCACACCTGCCTAAAAGCTCCGCCCACAAATAATCCATCTATTGTCTCTCCAAAGTCCTAAAGTGATCCTCAAGTCATTCTGCAAATCATGCTACGCGTAAACAACAAACAGATAAAGTGAGATGAGCGCCAAAGAGAGAAACTCGTTACTTTCTTCCTATGCCTAAGTATTTATAGGAGAGATAAGAAGCAAAAAAGCAACTCTCGAGAATAGTGTTTGTAACTAGTTTTCTCCTTTCCTCTCGCCGTACGCCTTCCTCTTCCCACTCGGGCGCAACCATGCCTCTTTGTTGCCTTTCTGAGCGAAAGAGAGAACTTTGACACCAATTTAAACGTCTCATTCCACTTAAATAATCAAAATATTTACAGAAGAACGCCCCTATTCAGCGTAATATCACTCGGTGACAATTGCGTAAAGGGTAAACAGAGTAGGCGCGGAAATTGCCTACAAATTGACTCGGCAAGTGCCCAAAATATTTAATTTTACAACTCCATAGAACACATTGTTTGATCCGCTCATTTTCCCCGTACGTTTTATTCACACTCCCGCCAAGGGGGCTATTCAAACCCCATTTCCCACACACTCTCGCGCTCCTCTTTATGCTCTCCATCGGTGTTGAGGTGGATGAGAAAAAGACAAGATTGTGAATAGCTATTGAGTGTGTTGCAATAGAAATCAATTGTGTCGAGAGCGAAGGTGTACGAGACATGATAACTCCACAAGATCGATAATTGTGCTAGCATTAATTTAATAAAAACTTCTGCAGAACTGCATTCCCGCGCTCACTCACACAACGCCATCTGCACACTCTCTCTCACTCTCCCGCAGTCTGGGCAATCACCCGGCATTCTTGGTCCATTATCCCAGGTAATAGGGCGAAAGTTACCTTTATTTCCTGCTCACTATCTCCAGACGTACCTCAGCTCGGGCTTGAGATACTACTTTGGTGGGAAATGTTAGGATTTTGCACAGTAAATTACAGATTTCCACAGAGCAACAGCCAATCAACCAAGAGAGGCGTCGAGAGACAACTTCACACTGCTCGTGGTGAATTCGACGGAGGGGAAATGTGGTGAATAGCGGTTTGGGACATCAATGCCCACTTTTTGACAGCGGCCCTTTTGTGCAAAGCATCAGAAGTTTCTCGAAGAGGCACAAAAGCAGCAGCAAAAACCTTCGTGTAATCGCATTTTTGCACAGAAATTAATTGTGAGTACAAGCATTTTTGTTATCTGGTGGTATTGGTGGAAAGGACGAGCGTCTCTAGAAGCAGGGTTGCACGAAATTTGGTGAAATATAAGGAGAATTGATAGGAAAATTCCTAGACAGTGACCATTTTGTTTTAGGGTGAGAAAAAAGCTTGCAAAACGTGGTCTCGGAGTATAATGGTGGTTTTTCTCTGTTGCAGACCTCTGACAGAGACACAAAGCAAGCATGGTCAAGGAGACTGCTTACTATGATATTCTGGGTGTGCGGCCAGACGCCTCGGCGGACGATCTGAAGAAGGCCTACCGAAAGTTGGCCCTCAAATACCATCCGGACAAGAATCCCAACGAGGGTGAGAAGTTCAAGCAAATCTCGCAGGCCTACGAGGTGCTGTCGGACGCCGAGAAGCGCAGCATCTACGATGAGGGCGGCGAGGGGGCGATCAAGAAGGGCGGCGGCGGTGGCGGAGGCGGCTTCACGAGCCCCATGGATCTGTTTGATATGTTTTTTGGTGGAGGGTTCGGCGGGGGCAGACGCCGGGAGAGACGCGGCAAGGATCTGGTGCACCAGCTCAGTGTCACACTGGAGGAGCTCTACATGGGGGCGACTCGCAAGCTGGCGCTCCAGAAGAGTGTGATTTGTGATAAATGCGAGGGTCGCGGTGGTAAGAAGGGCTCCATTGACAAATGTGGCCCGTGCCGCGGCACTGGCGTGGAGACGAAGATCCAGCAAGTGGGGCCGGGCATTGTGCAGCACTTCGAGCACATGTGCCGCAGCTGTCACGGCCAGGGTGAGCTGATAGCGGCCAAGGATCGCTGCAAGACGTGCAGTGGCAAGAAGACGGTGCGTGAGCGCAAGATTCTTGAGGTGCACGTGGAGAAGGGCATGCGAGATGGGCAGAAGATCGTGTTCAACGGCGAGGGTGATCAGGAGCCGGATCTGCAGCCGGGCGACATTGTCATTGTGCTGGATGAGAAGGAGCACCCGCTGTTCAGGCGCTCGCGGGAGAATCTCGTGATTACTATGCAATTGCAACTCGTGGAGGCGCTCTGTGGCTTCCAGAAGGTCATCAAGACACTGGATGAGCGTGACTTGGTCATCACATCACTGCCGGGTGAGGTGATAAAGCACGAGGCTCTCAAGTGTGTGCTGGGCGAGGGAATGCCGCAGTACAAGAATCCATTTGAGAAGGGACAACTCATCATTCAGTTCATGGTCCTATTCCCGGACACTATTCCAGCCGAATCGCTTCCAGCTCTCGAGAGATGCTTGCCTGGACGACCTCAAGTCACAATTCCAATCGACGCTGAGGAGTGCACACTCGTGAGTCCTTTCAGTGATTCTCTATCTACTTCTCCCTGACTTAATGTGCTGTTTTTCCTCTCTCTCTTTATTGCAGTCGGAGCTGGAGCCCGATCACGGCCGTGGCCAGCGATCGGCCCATGATGAGGATGAGGAGTTCTACTTCCACCAGGGCCCACGAGTGCAACAGTGTGCTACTAGCTAAATTATTTTTAGATTCTCAACACATTTTTAACTCCATAAGTGTGGATATTGTACGGACATTTAAGAGGAGTAACTTATCAATTAGGTATTCGGTATAGTAATTATGTAAAATTGAAATCAGATAACGCGCGGAGCAAGTTATAGAAATTTCTTATGCCCAAAGTGTGAGGAGATTCACAGTGTGCTGCTGATGATGATGATGATGATGATGATGAAGTTGATGGACAATGCTATAATAATCATTCCGATGTGAAGTATTTTCATCCTAAATGTTGTGAACTGGACAGCAACCGGGCGCATCATAATCCTCCCCACTCAGAAGAGAAGCTTCTCTAGAACCTAGCAAATCACAAGAGCAAAACAAAATGTGTACCGTGTGTAAAAGAATAATAATGAGGCAAAATATTTCCAATTATTTATCGACTTTTTCCTTCCATCGGAGCGTTTCTTTCAGTGCAGCGGAATGACTAAACTGGATTTGCTTGGCGGTTTTTTTTCTCACTCTCCGCGGGCGCGAGAGAGAGAATCGAGCTTTACGAGAGGAAACATGCGTCCTACAGTATATTTTCAAATCGCAAACCTCCAGCACAGTCAGTCCGAGGTGGTCGTGGAATAGTCACTCTTGAGATTCGCCGCCAAATCCTCGCATTATTAATAGAGACGCAGCAATGACTCACAAGCGGGGCCGCGACGACGGGCACTTGGAGAGCATTCTCGAGGAGGATCAGAGTGAAGTGCAGCCCAAGGACAAGTTCGCCGGAAGTTGCATTAGGCTGTGCACTGTGCTCATCTACCTCTTCTCCGTCTCCATTGCCGCCATCATCCTCTCCATCTACTACATTTTCATCTGGGAGCCGTCCGAGTCGAAGGAGGAGCAAGTGAGCGTCCGGGAGAAGACATTCCGACACCATTAAATTTGAGTGAGTGCTCGTGTTTGCTTTGCCACCCAATATTCCAGTATCAATATTTGAAAGAACACCCTCTCAGTCCGTCCTTCGCGGAGAGGCGACCAAAGTGGGAGACAAGATGGTCAGAGCGTTGCGAAAACAGCCGATCAATACTGTTGGGCAAATAATTCTAAGGTTTCTCTCGTCAGCTTTGGTCTCGTGTCACGTGACAATCGAGCTGTTGAGGATCAAGAAAATGACTGAAGATTAAGGGATTTGGAATTTGAAGTTTAAAGCTCAGGGATTTTACAAACAGATGAAAAGTTGGCACTGGTACTCTACAAATCTCTTAAAATACTTCACTCGAGACTAGAAAATCAAATAATTTTCCCATAAAATTGCACTGCGCGGAATTGTAAGGCAAAATCTAGGGAAAAGCTAAGAATAGAAATACCTTTAATTTAATTAATTAATGTTAGATTGATTATTTAATTGTCTGGAAAACGAACAATCTAGGAAATACATGTCTTCATAGCGAATAATTTTCCTCCTTCCACCATTTTTACTCATAAAGTTGTCTCTAAATATTTTGAAACTGAAAAATACACACCGATCTTTAAATCAAAGTAATAGAAAATTGCATAAAGAAAAAATTGATCAATTTCTAAGATATATTTTGTAGAAATCTTTAAAATTCTCCCTAACTTTATTAAATATCTAAATTAGTGTAGGTATATTTAATTCATGCTCAAATTAGATATTTAACTCAATAATTGCATGAGTTGTTGACCCCCTGTTTGCTCTCCACACGCGATAAATCTCGCGGCGTTTTAATCCGCCTCTGAGACGTTGCAATCCACGAGAAGTTCAGAGTCAGTTTTCCCATTTATTGGGCGCAGCGGAGGAGCAAATTCCCGTCCAATTTGCAGAGACGGCTCGTGTGTGCGTCGGAGGAGAACCCAATGCGCCCTCATCGTCCATGCGCACCCAATTTCCACGACTCCTCCTTCAGCACTCGAGAGAGAGACTCCCGAGAGTGCCTTCAGTTTTTCATCGACTCCACTCAATGTGGCACATTTCTCGCGCTAATCCTCACATATTTGGACTGATTTCCATCTCAATTTTCACGCCAGCAAACAAACAATTTGCCATCACTTTGTCCATCTCATCGCCAAACATAGCAAATCAGTGATCATTTGGCGTGTGATCGAGTGGACGAGAGCGGGATTCTCGTGGCCAGTGACTGTGAAGGAGACGCAAAAGCACATATTTTGGATGTAGACCAGAGGCTGTTTAGCAAATATTGTGCAAATTTCCATCCCGTGGCAGGCTGTTTATGTTATGAGTCCGTAAATATAGCCAGTGATTGGTGTGAGCTCGTGAATCCCACAAATTGCTCCTCATTAGCCAGTGTTGGGTCGCAGTGCAGCTGAGAAAACTCTCAAGGCTCAATTGCGAGAGTTCAGGCATAAATCACAGTCCTGGCAAGCGCGCGGCCCTCCTGCACAGGCAAATTCCGCGGTGAATTATTTTGATGATCCATTAACCCAATTTCTGGTTATTTACCTCGATATAATGTTCGAATCGATCGGCGGTGTTGTGTTTTAAAAAGAACGCGCCGAGCACGAGTGAAGAGGGAGCGGAAAAGGGTCAGATGATGTGAGAAGTGCACTTGGTCAGAATGAGCTACAAGAGCAACTACAATCCCGAGGAGAAGATCATCCTGGCCAGAGACGATGCCAAGGATCGCCTGTACGAGCCGAAGCCCAACAAGAAGGCCATCCGAATACTAACGGTGGCCGCGTATGTCCTGTGCGTCTCCTTGGCGGCTATTATGCTCTCCCTGTACTACATATTCCTCTGGGATCCCACCGTGAAGCCGTCGATGCACGCCAAAGTGCCCAACTGCGGTCTGTCGCCCCAATTTTCTCACCCCCAAACACTGAGATTCCCTAACAATCTGCTATCGATTTCTCTCCCACAGATAAAACCATCATCCCCGAGAATGTGGCCATAAAACTAGCAAATTCATCGGAAATCTCACCAGAGCAGTTCTTCAAGATCTTCCTCAAGCGCTACCAAGCGTACCAGGACGCAATCTCCCGCCCAGATGGTGTGTATGAGCTGAGGCAGCTGCCGGAGGAGCCCATCGTGAGGGCCACGAAGAGCGCGCAGGACTTCAGGAGTGCGCTGAGAAACGACACGGAGAGCGATGACTCGGAAGGGGATGATGACGTGGAGTCCAGTGGTCAGAATGAGTTGTCGTACTCCCACATTTCCAATGACACAGTGCTCCTCTTCGATCAGGACAATGTCATCACGAACACTTACTAGCCACACATTCAGAAGATCTTTTTGCAGTAGCAGGAATTTGTAGAAACATAAGTGAGAAATGACCTCCACTCTGCAGATGGAATTACGCAAATTACTTGTATGTTTTCAAAACAGTGTTCCGGAAGAGTTATTTGGGAGTTATAAACACTGAAATGCCAGAAGGAAATCTGCAATCACTCAACTTATTACGTGTGAATTTGAACTACAACTAAAAAGCAGCATTTTATAGGAAAGGACAATGATTTCTGTCTAGATTTTCAGTGTTTACAACCCCTTGGGAGGATGCTAAAACACCCCTGACTTTAAGAATACCCTTGACCAATGTGTAGCATCTCCAGAGTAGTGTTGGGGGCGCCTTTAGGACGTGCTAGTTATAAGTTATATGCTCTATAGTTGTTACTCAACAGTGAAAATCCTGTACAGAGAGCTTAGAATCCTCCGCAAGAGTGTTGTTTGCGTAATATATTATTATAAAAAAAAATGCTACAGAGATGGAAAGTGCATATTTTTCTATAAAAAATATTTATTTTTAATTTTATTTACCTACACCAGAGGAAACACTCAATTAATTTTGAATAAAATGTTAGTGATTAGAATTCTTAACAGTGATATAATTTTACAGGATCTATGAGTTTTTTTTGTTATGTCTCCATCGTCCACAAGTTCTCTAACTATATCAACACACACACACCTTTGACAAAGGAAAAGAATGTCTCTTACTTCACTAGAATCGCCTAATTTATAATGCTCCAGTCCTTTATCATGTTTTTCTTCCTATTTTCTCTCTTGTCTCAATTTTATATTTATTCTTAAGGTTTCTTTCTCTTTACACGTTATCGTTAGAAGTAGATTTAGTTTTTTTATGTGTCTCTTCGCGCTTTTGCATTGCAAACAGTCTGAAAAAATCGAAGATGAGCTTTCCTCAATTTTCATCCGAAAAAAACAAACAATTACATCGACACAGAACAACATCAATTAATGCCAATATTACCAAAAAGAATTAAAATTGCTTTTATCCTTTGTGAACTTGTTCAACAAATTGTTTGGAAAATGTTATAAAAGTACGTTTTCACACCGTTATTTTTTTTTTACAAATATACATCATTATCTTATGGCACATGGAGCATTTTTCTCATTCTTTCATCTCAAATTTTCTCATTTCTCTCTCTTGTTTTCTTTTTTTCACTTCTCTGTTAGTAACGTGTCCCAAGCCTAACACATGAAGAAGTCCGGTGGGTTTTGGAAAAACCTTAAAGAGAAAACTTTTGATGCCTTTTGTCCAAGGGTGACAACAAAATTGAATGAATGACAATAGAGATACCAGAACATTACATATTTCATTCCAACACTGTAATAGGTTTACAAAAAAAAAGAATATAACAATAAAAAGGGTAGGGAAAGTGTATAACAATTCAAGATGGGACTATAAATACAGAGACAGACAGGACAACAAATTCATATTACGTATAAGAAAGAAAATTGTCTCATTTCTGTATGAGTTGGCAAGTATTATTGGGTTAAATATTGTTGATTTGATTCCAAAAGTAGTCACATTAACTATATAACTTCACATCCACAATTCAAAGGTACAACTAAATTGACATGAAACATTGTTAATTCTCATTGAATGACGAAATAAACAATAACATTCACTGGAAGAACAAAAAAAAACACTCTTTTCGAAGTGACTTCAGGTGAAAAGATCAGAAATTACAAAGTTGAGCTGACTGTCATTTATCTTCCTATGTAAACATATATACCTCTCTACGTCCATCAACAAATACATAATTCGTCACTGATATAAATTACAAAAAAAGAACAAAGGAGGACAACAGTGATAAAGTATTCATTTCATGGGGAAAATTATAATTAATTTATAAGTCGACAGTATGTCATGCACAGACTGAGGGTTTAAGTGCTAAATCTCCGCTCATGATTTGTGCCCAACAATTTTGGGGAGATGAGCAACTGAGCGCAGCATTTCCCAGTGAATTGAGTCAATCAACATCTCCTCTTTCGCGCCTCCGTGACTGAAATTCACATGAGAAATACTGCCGAGTCGCACGCGAAAACACTATTTCACTATGACCTCTGCTGTCTTCCTGGATGACTTATCAGCAATTATTGATTTTATTAGGCACAAATTTTTTCGACTTCTTGCGATTTGATGATGAATTCTGCTGTCTTGCATTCGCGTACTCTCATGAGCTCTTCACTTTGCCATTCGCCGCATGTTCACGGTTGCGGTGTCGCTGACTCTGGCGGTTCGTTCCGCCGCCCACGGACGTCTCTACGGCATGGGTGGCCACATGCTGGATGCCCTTCTCCATGCACCCCTGGTAGAACGGCTTGAGCCACTGCGAAAGCCAGAGAAAAGCCACAATAAATCACAATCGTTAAACACAGCTGCACGACAAACTCACATTTTCCCACAAGAAATCCGCCAATACGTCAAGCTTCGACCCAAAATCACTCAACTCTCCGCTGTATCTGTATGGCGAAAGAAAAAAAAATCAAATCGAGATCGAGTGATTCTTATCACTGATTAGGCATGATGAATCGTGCGAAAAATCACCTTATATAAGCCCACATCGCGAGTGTGAGGAGTGCAGCACCCATGACCAGATTTGCAGAATTTGCAAATGTATACAATCCAAACAGACCGAAGATTCCGCTCAAGATGTACATGACAACAGCAATTGCAAAGTACACGGCTGGCGTTCGTGCAGCCTTGAAGATGTTCTTGCTCTCGTTGTGCGCCCGGAAATTGCCGAAAGACTCCTCCAGATCCATGTCCAATTTCTCACGATACTTCTCTGAAAACTCCTCGCCTCCCATCTTCCGCTTGGCCGAGAACTGCAAATGCACAATCACACAGTTTAGCGCCAATTCAATTACAAAAGAAAACTCTGATGCGGATAATTCCCTCACCTGATGCAGCGCCTTCTCCTTGATCCTCTGATGTTCAGCGTCCAAATGTCCATTGCTGAGGAAGGGCTTCGTCCCTCCGCACACATCCTCCATGAGCTGCACATAGAGATCTTTGGCCTCAGCCACAGCCGTCAGATTGTTGGCCTCCGCCGTGGCCACCAGCATGCTCTTGGGCTCCGGCAATTCGCTGCCCCTGTAGATGTTCATGTAGGAGATGAAGTACTGGATCAACTCCCTCGCGCGCACCTTCTGTCCATTGATCTCCTTCACGATCAAGTGCTCCGGCGCCAGCAATTGCGGTATCAACTCCTTCAGACTCTCCTTAAATTCATCCGTGATGTCGGCCAATCTGCCGTCGAATTTGGGATTTGTGGCCACCGTCAGACCGGGATGTGGCATAAGGAAGCACGCAATCTTGGAGAAGCATGACTTTATGTGTCGCCGCAGGGATTGCAATTCAGGATGCTGCTTGTCCGACACCTCAAGGCGCCTCTTGAGGATCATCTCACCACCTTTGGCCCCATATTCCGCCTCATAGGGGAAACTCCAGTCGCGCACGAGAAACTGAAGTCGCTGGAAAGGTGTCTTGCCAGAGTCAGCGAGTGCAAGCCTGCCGTACTCTGTGAAAAGCTGAAGATGCTGCAAATCATCCTCTTGGATGTTCTGCGACAGATTGAAGATCTGCACGGAGGACACCATCGTGCTGAGGGCGAATACTGTGGCACAGTCGCGCACGGTGCTCTGACTGTCGAATGCGCCCTGCGTGTCCAGCAGAATTATGGCCACCTTCTGCCCATTCGGGTAGTCATGGAGGAATATGTCCGACCACATCAGGATCCCCGTCGTGTCCCTCTCCGATCCGCCGCGCCAGGAGAACCCACTCAGCGGCTCATTGTCACCGCCCAGCCAGTCTTTGGTCCGCTTTTGCTGGCCGTACTGCAAAGACACACACACAGAGCGAGAAAACACATTATCCGCGACCACTTCTGCCACTCAGAGTGCAAGTGACTCACCGTTGAGTACATGTAGCGCAGGAAGAAGTCAAGGAGGAAGCTCTTGCCCTTGCGAAAGGCGCCAGCCACTGACACCACAACCACAAAGCGATCCTTGATGTCATCCTGCAGCAGAATCTCCGTGAGCGCATCCTCCTCGAGCAGAAACGTGTGATCCTCACCAGTTTCGATGATCTGTATTGGTCGCGCCTGATCCATGTTGCCGTTCACTGTGTGGAAGAATCAAGCAAATTGTCAATAAATAAACTGTGACATCAATTTCTCTCCGTGTCTCTAGAAATCGACGCAAGTTCAATCTTTCGTGGATTTCATTCTACTAAAGCACCACTCGAGCACTCACACGCGCCAGGCATTGCCACTTCGCAAGCTTTTAATGTATTTAATAACAAATCGCCAATTGCGTATGTGATCTTTCCAAATATCCTCCCCAAAAAGCAATATTAATTCACGATCATTGCGAACATTCCACCAAATGTTTTCTGTCAATGTGAATTTCTCAGACCGTCTTATTCGCAGATACAGAGTGTCATTGTCTTTTCCTCGATTGTGCCTTTTTCACATAAACTTGATTTTTGTGCTCTTTGTGTCTCGCACTAATTTCATGTATAATTAGGTGCACATATTCGTGCAGAAATAGACAATCTCACTACCTAAGACTATGTGAAGTATATTTCAATTGATGACAAGATGTATTAGGACAGATGCAAAGCACAGAGTGCGGCAAAAATTGGGCAATTTCAGGTTCTTCTGCCACTAATTGGCATTTAAGGTGAGAAAGACTCAACCAAAAATACATTTATCATAAGAAATGCTATTCATCTGAGTCACTTTAGTGGAGTTAACATAATTTTGCATTTAGAATTTGTAGAATTTATAGACTCGCGACTGTGGAATAGTGTGTAAAATGTGATATTTTACAAGAACACTTTACATGATTTGGTCGGAAAACCCCGAAAACTGTCTTGTTGACGTCCGTTTCCGCCGCACACTGTGCTCACGACACGATCATGTTATGCGGATCTGTGATTCAGAAAAGGTGAGTGAGAGATTTGGGGAAAGCGCGCACTCTGCGATGCTGTACAATTTATTAATAAAAGGTTCAACCTTGGGGAGTCATTTATCGCGAGAACCTCCTGAAAACCCGCGAGCGACTTTCGCGAAATGCGTTTCCACTAATGAACTAGAAAATTATCACACAGTCAGCATGTCTCTACGATTTTTTATTCACGCGCCCGGACACCGTGGATTTTTCCTCGTATCCACACACAGAGATACAGTCGAGGGGAGAGAAGAAAAAAAAAACAGTAAATCGAGTACAAAGATCACGGAACAAATGCCCGTTCACGTCACGAATCTTCCCACCAGCGACCGTCCATCTGCTGAGGCGAATTTACGCGTAGAAGTGTATCCCGAATGTGACTGGAATTTGCACATTTTGCTGTTTCTCGCTACTTCTCTCGTGACTTTTATTTTTTATTCGCCTCTTCTGCGTTGGCCTCCGTAGGCAGTGAAGTCAGTGCGGACGTTGCGACAAAGAATGCACTTGTCGCCACTGCGAAGCGTGTTGCCGCGAGGATTTCACGAGAAAAGGACGCAATGGGAATTGGGGATGATTTCGCGATGGGAATTAACGTGGCAATCTCTCAGATAAGTGCAATTTGAGAAATTTATTTCAGCTCACCTGAATTATGTTTACTTCTCTCACTGTCAGTCGCCATATTTTCCCCACTCGCGATGGTCGCGTAATTTTCTATGATGTCATCATGCGATGTTTCTGACAAATTCACCACTCTCACTTCCCGCCACAATTTCCCACGCACTGCCAATTCAACACGGAATCCTCGCAAATTTATGAAAATCCACCAACCAACGGATTTCTCAGTAAAAATGCAATTTATTTAAATATGTTTCCAATCAATAATGTGTATGGCAGATAACAAAATAAGTATGCTACAGTATAAATCCATGTAATCCTTTTTTGTTGTAAATAAAAACCGTTGGGCAAAGGGAGTTCGCTACAATTGCGTGACAAAAATTATTTAGACAATAAACTACACAAATTTCTCTAAAAAAAAATGAGCACTAATTGGCTTTGCAAACTACTGTAAGTCTTCTTCGCATTTTGGAATATCGAATATTTCAGCAAAGAGTGGTGGAAGCCTCATGATGGACCAATTAGTCTTAATCCAATTCAAATGAACACAGTGTTTGGCACTCAGTGATCGCAGCTCCGCGATCTTCTCATTCAGTTCCAGGATCAGCTTCATGGAGGCCGTCTCATCCGGCCGGGTCTGCATTATTTGCACCCTGAGCGCCTCGGAGACGCGATCGCGAGTCCGCGAAATCACTCTCGGCTCCACAACGCCAGGACGATCCACTGCGAGGAGAATGAGAGCGGAGAAGAGCCCAATCTCCTGGTCGCTCAGCAGATAGTTGTTTAGCACGTTGGAGAATGTGAAGAAGGAATTGGCGTAGTCCAGCTGCGAAGAGGCACAATTGATTGAGAATTCATGAAATTACAGAGACATCGAGTGACTGAATCCAACTTACATCGTACATAATCTCGAGCTGCTGCTTCGTAAAATAGTAGCCATCGTCGAAGATCATGGTGGATTCCGTGGTGGACTTGGCGATGTGATTCAGCCACACCTCGAAGAAGCCCAGCTTGATGAGGATCAGCTGGTCGTCCTGCGTGAAATCACAAAACTCTGGGATTCGCTTTGCGAACTCCACGACTTGCTGCACGGATGGCGTGACGCGGTTCGCATACTGCTGCCACAGCCACATGCGGTGCTTCTCCAGTGGATCCTTCACCGGGAAGTCCTCCTTGCCTCGTTGGAAAAGCGAGGCGATGGGCTTCCGGCTCAGCGTCTTCAGCAAGTCATCAGTGTAGTTGCAGAAGGCGCTGTGAGCCTGCGAGACCAAGCTAATTATGTCGTTCACGGAGAGTTCCTCACTGTTGGGCGTGTCGATGTCCGTCACGATGCTCACGAGCTGAGATGAGGACGCCACGGTGTCTGCTGTGGAGCATCCCGAAGAACTGGACACGGCGGCAGAGGAGTTGTCTGGCAATCTCGGGGAGTCTCGAGGCTTCTTGGGAACTCTGCCATATCGGACAGCTGAAAGAAGGAGTGATATTATCGATAGGGATCAGACGAATGATCTCAAGAGTCAGTACAGTCTCGACTCATTCCAACTGAGAGGCACTTCTTGAAGCGACAGAACTGGCAGCGATTTCTGTTCAGGCGAATCACAAGGCACTTCCCATCGCGCAAGCATCGATACTCGATCTGCTTCTGGATGCTGCGTCGGAAGAATCCCTTACAGCCCTCGCACGAGGTCACGCCGTAGTGATAGCCGGACGCCTTGTCGCCGCAAATCTTGCACGGGATGAAGGACTTCACGGCGGCGTCCTTGGTGGAATCGGCCACGAAGAATCCCGGACAATCTGTGGCCTTCTTACCGGAACTGGTGACAATGTGAGGATCTTCTGCGGTGGGTGTGGCGAACTTGGTCGGTGGGGATTCAATTGATGTGGACTCCACGGAGTCAGGACTGCCGAATGTGGCGGGAAGCTCGGATTCCGCCTTGGCAGCGACGCTGCCCTCACTGAAGTCCGTCGAGTCGAAGAAGTCGAGATTCAGCACGGAATTGGCGTCAAACGTGATCTCTGGGACATCCTCAGTCTCTAGGATGTCCACAAGAGTGCTATCGAATCCCGAACTGGACGACTTGATCTTGAATACATCCATTTCAATCTCTTCTCTGGAAATTGGGAGAGAGAGAAAGAGCGTTGAGAAGAGAGAGAGGGAGAGAAAGGAGAGGAGAGCGAGAGAAGATAATCTAATTTGATATTCTCGATCATGATCTGAATTCGCCCCTCACCTATTGTGTCATAGCGGAGGATTATTGGCTCTTATCGCATTTTAGCACTTGTGGAAAATATGTAAATCATTTGATCAGAGCGTCTCTGGATCTTCGTCAGCGAAGAAAGCACACACTTGGTGGGCAAAAAGCAATGCAACTGTGATCACGAACACTGCATTTCTGCTGAATTGCACAAAATTCACGAACAGGAACCACTGACACTGGCGGAACTGGGCAAATGGGCACACTTACGAGCGCTGGAGTGTCCCAGCGTGAGTCTTCCTCTCGCCAGCGCGATCACTTTCGTCTGCCACAGATGAAAACTTGGGAATAGAGATCACAAAATATCAAAATTGAGCGTAGGGAGAGGAGAAGCGTAGTGAGAATCTTGGCAAATCGGGAATGCCTGAGATCCCCAACCAGGTAGATGTCAATGCCATGGCCACTGTTGCAATGAGGCGCGAGATGGAAGACGGCGCAGCGACTCGGGCTAGAGGAGGATGCCACTATGAGGAAGAAACATAACAAGTTCAATGACCGACGTAAGTTTTGTTGGAAATACACTCGCCTATATCTATATGGAGTCCAACTTTTGTAATATATATCCATGTATTATATGCCTCTACAGAGGAACATACACACGATTGATGAAGGTTGTTGTTTCTCCTGGTGGAAATTATCTCGCTCTCTCTCGAATGCTAAATTGATACAATTCTCCAGTCTTTTCTCCGCGCATAGAAAATTTCCTCCACATCTTTTTCATTATCATCTTCTCCTCTCGCGATCGGGCCCGACAGAACTCCACCAGATTATTGCTCCACAGCCAATACACAGGCGCGGGCATGAAAAACAACCGATTGCGAAAATCCCCAGAGTGATTGGGAAAATAAAATTTAAATTCCTCCTCTTGTTAATGACTTTTTATTAAAACAATTATACTCTGCCTCATGTAGACACTACTATCAAAGTGAAAATACACTCTCTCCGCTGCAGAAGAAATTGCAGACAACACGGTTATGCTTGTTTCTCGGATTTTGCTCCTCTGGATTCGCTGGATTTATCCAGTCTTCTGGTCTGTAAAAGTTAACTCTTTCGCGTTCGACTAGCTCATCTCAGCACATTCATTGATCGCGAAAGGGTTTTCTCCGCGCAATTCGCCCCTTACGTAATGCCCAAGAACTTGTGAGTCAACTGAAGTGCTTATTAAAATTCCACTCAACGATCTCCGATCGCTATGTATCACTACTACTTGTAAATAACGATTTTTGGCACGAACATTGGAAAAAAATACCCAATTAAGCTCCTTCTGCTGCAGCGTCGAGAAAAAATACCTCACAGTAGGTTTACAAGAGAGTTAAGGCCAAGTCACACAGTATCGTCAATTTGCACTTTGCATTGTAAGAACACTTTTATCTTCTCCTTCTTTCAAATTCGAGAGTTAATGGCGATGAGGAATTAGTAAAAAAAAAAAGAAAGAAGTACATTTTCGATGAATTATCACGTGGAAGAGAATTAGGACGCAGGAAGTTAGTCTCTTTGTGAAATCGAATAGATACAGCGCATAATTTAGCGCTTCATTTTGTCAAGAATGGGGACAACCATGTCGAACTTGGGTCGCTTGCCTGGGTCCTCATTCATGCAGATGCGAATGAGTTTGGCCAAGTAGGAGGATGTACCTGGTGGGATCTGCACGCGCAGTCCCTCTGTGGCGATGCGCATGCCACACTCCATGGGCGACAGATCAGCAAAGGGGATCTCGCGCGTCGCCAACTCCCACACGCAAATTGCAAAGCTCCACATGTCACACGCCTCCCAATTCCGGTCGGATCGCTTCTTCTGCAGTGCCTCAGGTGACATCCAAGCGGGCTTGTACAGACGTCCGCGCTCCTGGAAGGAGAACTTGGCGTCGCCCATGTTGATGCGCGCCGTGAGATCCTCGTCGATCATCACGTGATAGCTATTGAGGTGATACTCGGGGATGATGCGCTCCAGTGAGTGCAGATACGCCATGCCGCGAGCGATGTCCAGGGCGAATCTCACCGCCTGAGCGGTGTCCACCACAACTCCCACGGCACCGTGCAGGAGATCGTACAGCGATCCACGCGGCATGTACTGTAAAATTAGTGCCAATTATTCACTACACGCCATAAATCTAATCTCAAGAGCACCCACCTGACTGATGACAATCAAATTTGGTGGTGAATTGCATGCCCCAATCACGGGCAGGATGTTGGGATGCGAGAAGATCCTCAACTTGGGGAACTCCTCGTTAAAATCCCGCGAAGTCCTAGGGTTGCACTCACGTATGTTGAGTATCTTCGCCACGATGTCGTTCTTCTGCCAGCGTCCGCGCCACGTCTCACCGGACGCCGGGATGGCCAGCTTCGTGTGGAGCTCCAAGTCACGGATATTGATGCCCTTGTACCGCGACAAGGTGGCATCGCGCGATCTGGTCTTCAGTCCCAACCAGCTCTGGTCCTTGAAGCTGATCTTCCTCAGCTCCTGCCCACTCTCCACCGCCAGATCGTGCAGTCGCTTCGCCAACTGCGCCTTGGCTTTGTCCAGAGGCGTGTCACCGTCCTTGTTGGCCAGCGACACGAGCCCACCGTGATTCACCAGCTCCTCCGCGATGGCAGTGTATCCCCAGAAGGCGGCGTAGTGCAGGGGTGTGTTGCCGTGCTCATTCGTGGTGTTCACGTCGGACTTGTGGCGCAGCAGCATCATCACGATCTCCAGATGTCCGTGAGCAGATGCCAAGTGCAGAGGGATGTCATCGCCCATATTTGTGGCATTCACCCGAGCTCCGCGCTGCAGCAGCATCTCCACCAGCTTCGAGTGACCCTCCTTGGCGCACCAGTGCAGCGGACTGAAGCCATGATCGTCTCTGCGGGCGAAAAGGCAGAGATCACTCACCATCTGTTGTCCACTCGAGCCATTGCTCAATCTACGCCCACACAACACTTCATCCCATTTATAGTCGTCCCCGGACGGCTCTTCCGCAACCCACTGACCCCAATCAGCCGAGAATGCATGCCACTCACCCCTGGTTCATGTCGTGCTCCGTGTCGTCTAGCCAGAGACGCACCTGGATGGAATTTCCTTCCCTGCACCAGTGAAAAATGTCCTCCATGATGGGCGATGAGGGAAAACTGCAAAATACCAATAGAAATCAATGCAACAGCCACATCACTGCAGTGTGCAGCGCATCAGCGGAATCTAGACTCACCGATGGTGCAGAAATAAAAGGCAATTCTGCTTCTATTTATTAGGAAAAAGGCGAGAAGAAGTCTGAGGGAGGGAATAAAAAACAAGATATGACGTCACTCTTTGACACTTCAACATGGCAGCCATTCTATCACTTTTTCTCACCACATCGACGGTCCGCCATTCGCGCGCGCGGTTTCAGTCGCGATGGTGAAATTCTCGGTACACAGCTGATGGAGAACGCTAGCTGAAGAAACAAGCAAGATTGCCAAAAAACCACAAAACCCATCCCCTAAAAAGTGCATATTGTTCTCCAAGGTGATTTTTGTTCGCTCAAAGTGAAGAATCTGCGTTGTGGTAAGTTAGAAATTAGAAATATGAATATATTGCTGTACTATTTGTGGCTTCCATGTGGAAGGAAAGGCAATTTTCCATTTTACATTTTACTTCCGATTTTTTGTAGGTTTGCTTGCCTCAACTATCGAGTTATGTTAGTTATAGAAGTTAGAAAGTTTATGATTTCGCTTCCGTCTGCAAAATTGGCATGATGTATTTGCAGGCCTTTGCATGCATGAGAAAAAACCCTTTTTATTGCGCTATTTGTCGACAGAGGGGGTTTGAGAGTGTAAGCTTGCCTTCACTTACCTTCCTGCACTTTAGCAAATTGAATCTCCTGTGTACACGTAATACAATCTCAGATAAAGAGGCCTCCAAAGTTCCACTTAAATAGTATCGAATACGAAAGCACCTTGGCTCCAGGCAGCCTCGAACTTCGACGTACGTCCTTATCAGCTCACACTATTCAATAGTGAGATGCAAAGCCCCCTTTTCAATCGCTTCAAGTATTTTATGGGCCAAAGTTGACGGGAGATAGAGGCTGAAATGGGAGTTGTTTTCAGCAGAGGGCAAAAGTTTCAACGAGTTTCCTTCCCCAGTGCGGATGATTGTCAATAATATTGCTTCAGTGATTAATCCTCTAATTGGGGGAGCACACTGAGGATCTCAAGAGGAGTCTCTGGTGGAGAGAAAAAAAGTAATTTGATTTGCGCAAGGGTAGAGAGACAAGTGAGACAGCATTTGTGTGAGCCTGTTTAAAATGCAAAGCTAGCGCTCATGTCCTAATGATCTAACGAGAACATTTCAGACGGTGTTCGTTAATCAGGATGAACAAATCAGTGACATTTGGAATTAAATGTTATGAACTCATGAATTTAAATCCTAATTTACCGTAGAGCGGCTTCCCAACCTATCTTTTGTTCATTTATTCAAAATATTACCCTTCACGAGAGGCGGGTTAAGCCACCACCCCCAGTGGGAGCCCCATTGGAAATCTGTCACTGCACAGAGCGGCCCGGCTAAATGGCCAAATGGAGGGAAAAATCATTTTAATTTATATTTGTTATTGAAATTATGGCTAAAGTGGTCTATTTACTGAGAACTTCGCCATATGTAGGAAGATTATATTTTTCGACGAATGATGAATGAAGCGAGTTTTTGCACACATTATTCAATGTTGGGGGGCAAAATTTATGCCATCAAATAATATGAAATAGCTCAACAATATTTCATTACTAATGATCATCTATTTACTTTTTTTCTCCCCCACTATATCATATATATTCTAACGTTTTTATCCGGCACAATGAACATATGTACTCATCGTGCTTCTCCTATAGAAGGGAATGCGAACACATATGAGAAATGCCACTAATTAGTCCCCAGCATTTCAAAGTGGCATTGCCAATTTAGTTGTGGTGAAATAACTTTTCAATTTCCTACCGTGGTGCATATGTCAAGAGCGAGGGTGGCATTTATACACACAATATTTCAAAGTACCTTCCAGATAAATTGCACAGTATTGAATGCCAGGGAGAAAAGCTCTCAGCTTGTGGTGCCTCTTATATACGACAATCAATATTGCAGCATCCTCGACAACCAATACCAATAAGCGAATGGTATTCTATATTGAATTTATTTTCATGTCAGTTGCAACTTAATTTAAAGATCTTCAATGCCATATTTTTTCACAAGAAATATATAATGCATGGAGGCACTTAAAAGGGTTGCTCCGGGAGACTCCACGAGAAAGTGGCCCGCCAGAACCGCCTCTCGGTGGTGAGCTTTCAGTGGTGCGAGCATATAGCGTGTGTATGTGCCACTATTATGTTCATTGTAAGCCCGGCAATAGTATAGGAAAGTCTTGCTAACAGTTCAGCAAGTTTGGTGGGAAAATTTATCAGAGTCACTCCCATGGCGTATTTATTGCAGATTATTAATATGGTTTACCTCGCTCACACACAATTTATTTTGATACCAAATTTATGACTCCAAGTCTCTCTTCTACTCCATGCAACATTTTATGCCACAGCGGGCGAAATGCGAGGAGGAAATTTGCAAACCACTGACCATTTGGACAGTTTCTTGTCATTTTTATTTCCTACACGAGATTCAACTCCATCGCGATGGTACTTTGTGAGTCTAGAGGCGTTTTCATGCCTCCCTCCACCCACGCCCGAGGCGCTCCTGTTCCGTCTCTCTCTCGCTCTGTTCGTCTTCGGCCAAGCATGGCCAGAAGGGAGGCTGAGAAAAAAAGTGCCTCGTATCAATTTGGCCATCTGTGAGTAGATCTCGAGCTTAAAATGTCGAGTGGAGAGACATAAAGATGAGCTTTTCACTTCAATATAGGCACATGACCCTTCCCAGGAGGTACCAAGTCCTTCATTTCCCCCCGCATCTCGCCCGTCATCTTCCCCTCAAAAACAAATTTTCCACATCAATTTTCCTCGAAAACGTGCCCAATTTTTTTCTCTCCACTTCTTCTATGTTTCAACTCGCCCAAATGGCTTCTGAAGGATGGCAGAGCTTGGCAGCAGCAGCAGCGGCGGCCGGAAAATCTCGCTCCTCTTGCTGATGGTGGAGGTCTTGCGAGATTTTATCCCATTTGAGAGTAATATTTGTCACAATATGTAACACCAATTCGGGATAATTGAAGTGCTTCATGAGGGGTTTGCCTAACATTGTGCTGAATAATTGTACATAAAGCATGTGAGTTACAACTGGGCGAAGCTTTATGATTAACCGAATATCCCTTGCCTGTCGAAATGTGGTACGTAAAAGCTCTCTGTCATTATCGTAGCTGTCGTTCATTAGATACTTAAATGCAGGTGTCGTTGCGTAAATTGGTCTGTTTTCTATGTGCCATGGCAGTGCTATTGCTATGGATGGAGATGTACGTGTAGCTATGTTGAACAAATATGCCATTCATTTAACACCCTTAAACTCACCGCAAGTCATTCGTAACGTATGAGTGACGCTGGATTATGGCGACAGTGACGATTAATTCCATTCCAAAGTAACATTTTGGGATGTATGCTGTGAGTATTGAGGTGGTTCAACTCTTTCTGCCACTCCATTCCCATGATGGTATCTGGGAAAGCACATGAGTGGAGTGAGTTGGAGATAAGTTGTTGGTATTGATTCTTGCCTGAAGTTTGTGCAGAACAAACTTTACATGTTTCGGATCTAATGAATAACCAAGTTTTCATTTTTTTTCTAGATACTCTGCAGAGTGTATCCTAACATATTCCTTTCGCCAAAGTTCCTTTTCTAAATCAATATCCACGTCAAAGTTTAAATATACCAAACTCTGAGCACAAAGGAAAGTTTACAGCAACGAATTTCTTTAATTCACAACTACCGTATAATGATAAAATGTGAACAATTGTTGATGACTATCTGGGTCATGTGTACAGACCTAGAGTGGTCAAATGGAGCATCCGATTTTCTTATCGAGTGCCCGAGGCACCTTGTTATCCTTGTATGTACAAGTGGTTACACATGGTTTGCAGGAGGAGGTCCCACCATTGTTGGGAATGTACATAATGTCGCTTATATGTGGCGTTGCGGTGGCATGAGAAACGCATGAATTCTTACCAAAAAGTAATTTCCAAATTTTCCACATTGTTACACACCATCCAAAATTTTAGGACGAAATTTATACTTCGACAATACGATTAAATTTTCTACATCTCTCGCCATGTGTCTACCCAGTAATGGGTGTGCGGAGGGCGAGAGAGGAAATTTTGGGGTTTCATCCCAATTTTCTCACCAACTTCCACGACTGATATGAATGGGAATAGTACTTTAGATAATATCACCCAGCTCAGTGGGTTTTCGGGTGTGTATATGTGTGTGTGTGTGTGTGAAAGAAAACACGGTGGGAGTGGGAGAAGGGAAGGTTGAATTTTGCACCAAAAGTTGGAAGTCAATATTGGCCAAACTATGCTGTAGTCATGAACATTTCACAAAGAGAGACTGACAGAAAAATAATCCTAATGAGTCAGCTGTCTAGCGCGGGGCGGTGGGTGGACTAACCATTTGGAGCGTCAATTAGTGTCAGAAGTCACCCGCAGGGATTTTTCCTCTCGCCTGACCATTTCCATCCACTATCGAACAGAAGAGGGAATAAGAATGAGGAGATAGAATAGAGGAAGAGTCTATCCCATCTAATGGTGCAGCGTGGAATTGCTTTCAAATACCATTCACTCTCTGGCTCAATGTTGAATATGTAAGAATTGTGCCACATATCCCTCGCAGGCTTATGTCATTTCAATGAGTCGAGAATTCATTCTTTCCTCTTTCTCTCTTCGCTCCAATCCCGAAGCGTGTGTTTTATCAATTCATTCCACCCTCCAGTCCGATGTTCCTCACTATATACTATAGCGTTGGTACTCATCGTCCGGAGAAGATTTAGTCATTCCATTTAAATTGACTAAACAATCGTTAAGATATTCTCACACATTGTTTATTCCTCAGTCACTCACCCGCCCACATTCTCCTAAATGCTAAATCGAAAAATTATTCAGGGTAAATCGCTATTTAAGTAATCCCCAGTTATTCCTTCATTTTTAATTCAATATTCGGTTCCTTTAGGAAATAGAATATTCCAATGTACCACCCAAAAGAGGAGGTAGTACATATATAAATTTTAATTGAATGCAATAATTCATCATAAATCCAGTGTTTTCACATAAATGACTTTTCCCATTATTCATACATTCACTTCCCATTGCCAGGAGTGAATTTATTCAAAATTTCACACAGGTACTTAAGAGTAAATGTCTGAATGATATGAC